ACAGGCTTTAGAGAAGCTTCCTTCTTGGAGAGGCTTGTGGGGCATAACTTTGTAGAGTTACAGCCTCATTCAAATTTGACCCAGATAACGACATTATTTTGAAACCTTGATTTCAGTGAGAAAAACTAAAGAAACTAACTTCAAGGCTACAAGAAGTTGTTGGTTTTTTAAATGCTGGAGGCTTTTATTTTGGGGAAAACACCTGAAGGTTATGCAAATGTAAATCCAAAATCATCGTCTGAAAATGGAGATATTTGAGAAGCTTAGACTAGCCTGTGAAACCATGGAAAAGACAGCTCATTCTGCAGGCAGAGTTGCATCTCTACAGATAAATTTCTTTAGAGAACTCTTTCTTTTCTAGTGTGGATTTAGACTTCAGTGTGACCACAAACTACTGCTTGTTCTTATGGAGAAGTCTATCTGGACAGAAGAGTAGATCAACAGATCAGGAATTGAAACCCTCAAAGCTACAGGAATCTCCTCACACAGGAGGAAGACTTGAAAAAAAGGAACCAGGTGGGCAGAAGTAAACATAATCCTGGGATGTACCACTGATGCCTACATATTGGTATTAAGACTCAATAACTCATTATTATTTTGATTGTTGATTATTGTATTCTGATAAGATTCTCCTCTGGGAGCTATCCCCTTGGAGGTAAGATCACACTTCCCCTGAAGTAGGGTGACCAACTGTCCCAGTTTGCTGAAGACTAAGAGGTTTCCCAGGACACAGGACTTTCAGTGCTAAAACTGCGACAGCTCTGGGCAAACTGGGACAGTTGGTCACCCTAAGAATGGATCTAGCCACTGTCAATCACGTGAAAAAAATTTGGAAAGTCTAAACCAGGAAAAGAGGATTGGGACATGTTGACCTGGGAGAATTGCCTGGGATGAAGGGTGAAGAGAGGGGAAAGGAGAGAAGGGGAGAAGTCTGTTCCTTATCTTGGCTCTGGGAGCTGAGAAACATCTACCACACTCTGGGTGGTAGAAATCAGGCCTGAACCTAGGATGAGGTAACTCTGTAGCAGTACCATGAGTCATCTTATTAGGAAGTCCAGGAAGAGGAGTCAGGCCTCAAGCAGCCAAAATGATGAGCCAGTAGCAGGTTTTGCTGTTGCAATTCTATTCTGTTCTTTTGTAGCCTGGTCTCCTAGCTCTGTGGGGTAATGTACACACTTTGGGCTGGCTGGGAAAGGTGGAAGCAGTCTAGTGATGTAGGAGAAGCCCAGGGAAGGGAGGAGATCCCAGAACAGCAAGTAAGCATTTACAGTAGAATGATAGAAGGCTCTTCCTTCTTTGGAATTATTGATATAGGATAAATTTCCAGTGGTGGGATTTATCACTGGATTGAAATGTATGAACATTTTAAGAGTCTAGAATGACCAAGAAATCAGCCCTTCCATAAAGATAGGTGTATATGTAAGGATTAGAAAAGTCTCAACAGAATGATAGATCTTTAATGTTTGGCTGGGTAAACATGGAGATTCCTTTCAAACGGACTTTTTGAAATTTACTAACCTATGATTTCAAGGTCTACTTTTCGTGCTCCTGTTTAGCATCCAGAGATTTTCTCTCTCCCATTTGATTATCACAAAGTGGGTCTTAGATTGTAGTCACAGAAAACAAAAAGCCTGTGAACTTGATGTTAGGGAACTGGGGTGTCCCCAGCCTCCAGCAAGTGTTTTCCCTTCCTTCCGTCATTGCCATCCTTACAACCAACACAGTCCTACTTAATTTGGAGTCCCTGACCTCTTATACCCACAATTTCATAAAATCTGGGTGGGATCTGTAGAGCACTATGGGTCCTAAGAATATGTGCATGCACAATTGTTAAGATCGCTTGATTCCTTTCTTTCTTGTCCTCCTCCTACCTTCCCTTCCATTGCCAGGGAAAGCGACTGCGGAGCCCAGTCTTTGAGTTGTTTTCAGTTTATTGTTTCAGGTAGGGATACAATCGTAGTATGTCTATTATCTGTCTAGCTTTTATTTTATCCCTCTCCCCACCTTTTATATGTCTTCACTCTGTGACTCCATTCAAATTGTGTTTTGTTTTTTCTCCCTAAATTAATTTGCTCTATATCCTCCACAATCCAACGATCAGGAAAGGAGCTCCATCTCTGTTCAGTTCATTTTATTTATTTATTTATTTTCCCCCAAAGCCCCAGTAGATAGTTGTATGTCATAGCTGCACATCCTTCTAGTTGCTGTATGTGGGACGCGGCCTCAGCATGGCCGGACATGCGGTGCATCAGTGCGCATCAGGGATCCGAACCGGGCCGCCAGCAGCAGAGCATGCGCACTTAACCGCTAAGCCACGGGGCCGGCCCTGTTCAGTTCATTTTAAACAAAGGATATGTTTATGGTCCCTCTTTTGTATAATTTGGACTTGGTAAACCAGTGATGACCCAATATTATAGTTTTCCCTTAATATATCCTGGGATTTTGCTGTCTTGAAACATCTAAGGGCAAATCTGGAAAACTCCTATGCTGGCCAGATGGAGTCATCTATGGGAAGATGAGGCTTACATAAGACAGGCAAAATCCTTGACTCTTTCCCAAAATGGTACTAGGAAAACACTATAAATCCACAATAAGGACCTCAAGAGAAGATTTCTCAGGCACTTATAAAAAGCCCCTATAAGCAAACCTTTGGCAATTTGGAAGTATAGACCCAATCCCTCCCCTAGATCATTTTGGGGAAAGTATAAGTATGGACTGAAAAATCCTGGCCTGTAAAAATCCAGGTCAAAAGGAGATTAAAGGAATAGATTTGAACAGTTATTCTGTGGAATTATTAGGAAAAAAAACACTGCCAGTCATTGGTCAGTCAGTTTAGAAATTATCTTAGAAATTATCTTTGGTGTGCAAGTAATAGACTTGAAATTGCTTTTGAAATCTCTCCAAGACTGTCCCTCCCATTCAGGCTTCATATCACCATCTAGTGATTTAAGTTGTGAAAACTCCAATTTTCCTTTTAGTCTTTTTTTTTTTTTTTTTTTTTGGTGAGGAAGATTTGCCCTAACATCCTTTGGCAATCTTCCTCTGTTGTTTTTTTTTTTTTTGGCTTGAGGAAGATTAGCCCTGAGCTAACGTCTGTGTCAATCTCCCCCTATTTTGTATGTGGGATGCCTCCACAGCATGACTGATGAGTAGGTCCGCACCCGGAATCAGAACCCCTGAACCCGGGCTGCCCAAGCTGAGTGCATGGAACTTTAACAACTCGGCCACGGGGCCAGCCCTAACTTAGTTTTTAAGGCTAAAATGCTAGGCACTTTCCAAAATCACCCTCCACCTTGCCACTTATGATACATGGGTGGCAGTAGCCCTTTTCTCATGCAATACTCATAATAGAACCAAAACTTTATTGGGAAAAATTCCCATCTCAGGAAACAGAAAGACTGTAAGAGTTAAAATATTGCCTTAGGAGGGAGACAAGGCATACTTGGGTCACAAGTTAAACTTTACAAAAAAATAAAAGGTAACAGGGCACCTCTGTTGCACAATGAATAGAGCTCAAGTTTCCAGTCACCTCTTCATTGTTCACTCCTATCTCAATGACATCATTGTACATATTAAGCTCAACCTCCTACCAAATGGACCCACTCTTTATAGAGTAGGATGATGATGGGAAATAGCATTTGGAGTAGAAATAAACAGCAGATAATAATCCATAATTGTTTTTAATCTTGAGGATGAGTCACCCCTAATTTATTTCCAAATTTCTTCTGTCATAAGCTGTTCATTTCTTCACTTTGAAAATCACCAGATTAACACTGCCAAAGGCAGGTAGGAAATCATCCAAGAGGACAAGTCAGAGGTATCACATGGTGAGTGGCTGAGAAACTGGGAACAAGACAATCCTCAGGAAAGTCTCTTTTTTGTCCCAGCAAAGGCACCAATGTGTGAACCTAATTCACACTTTCATTATTCCAATCAGGTTATTTTTATATCAGTATTATTTTAAAGATTTTATTTATTTATTTTTTTCCCCCAAAGCCCCAGTAGATAGTTGTATGTCATAGCTGCACATCCTTTTAGTTGCTGTATGTGGGATGCGGCCTCAGCATGGCTGGAGGAGCGGTGTCGTCAGTGCGCGCCCGGGATCCGAACCCGGGCCGCCAGCAGCGGAGCGCATGCACTTAACCGCTAAGCCACGGGGCCCGCCCAATATCAGTATTATTTTAGAACAAGACTTGGTGGGGGTTGTTTATTTCCTAGGAAATTCTGTCCATCACTTTGCACATAAGATATTCAAGTAGGTCTAACTCCAGAATTCATTTAAACCAAGGAATTATATTCCTTTTACCTCTCCTTTTTAATATTTTCACATACTTTCTTTAGTCCTAAATCTTCCTTCTGTACAAGGAATTTCAAAGCAGAAAGGTCAGACAGACATTCTAACATCATGATCATAAGAAATGGGATCTATTTAGACGTGAGCTGTCAAAAGCTGGGTGAATCTCCTTTGTCCATCAATCTATCAGGGTCTTTAGATCTCCTATAAAGTGTAAGCTTGCTATTTTGTTTATATCTGACTTGTCTTCTTTAAGTTGATTGGGTTCTTAAACCCATTTAGCCTCTAACTCCTACTCAGGGTTGGAAATAGGAGACTGGGGTCCAGATGTTCTCCCTAGGAACTAGGCCCAAGTCATAATCCAGTTATTGCAGAAAGACTAAAGATGAAGGTTTCAGATTGTCCCTAATATTCTCTTAAAAACACAAAGCTTCAAACTCATATTGGTAGCCATTTACTTATGTCAGACCATTCCCCAACTTAAATTTACTCTTTTTTATAATTTTATTTATTTATTTTTTTCCCCCCAAAGCCCCAATAGATAGTTGTATGTCATAGCTGCACATCCTTCTAGTTGCTGTATGTGGGAGGCGGCCTCAGCATGGCCAGAGAAGCGGTGCGTCGGGGCGCGCCTGGATCCCAACCTGGGCCGCCAGCAGCAGAGCGCGGGCACTTAACCGCTAAGCCACAGGGCCGGCCCTAAATTTACTCTTTACACTTGCCTCAGATTATGCCTACATAGGCAGCACAGTAGAAAAGCTAAAATACTATCCAAATAATTCAGGACAAACAAATATTATTTTCATTTGAAATCTCTAGATAATTGAAACAAAAAGTGTTCTGGCTAGATGCCATTTTCCCCTTTGCTTTGATTTTATAGGCACAATCATAAATGTCTGCAACCAGTGAGCTTTCCAATGAGTAGCGCTCAGCCTGGAGTTCAACAGATAATAGGGAATTCTTGTCTTGGTTTTGGTTTAGTTAATAAATTTGCAAATGAATCAAGATATTCTGGCACAGCCCCAACCCTTCTAAAACACACAGATTAAATGTCAGTTTGTGACAAGTGTCCACACACTCAATCACGCTAGATGATGGAACTGTGTAGGGGGTGGTGGAGGGGGAAAGTTTGTCACGACTCCTTCCGAAAGTTTCCCTCCTCCCCACCTTCACATTAGCTAAAATGAGTGAGCATCAGCTCCTGACGCATGCGGTCAGCCTCTAGGTCCAGGGACTCCATGTGCTCATATTCTTCCTCAGGAGGCTGTTCCATGGGTCCTGTCATTGGAGAGGACCAAACATCCATCCCATGCTCCAAGGAGATGTTGTGGAGGACACAACAAGCCAAGATGATGTGGCTGGACTTCTCGGGTGAGTACTGCAGAGCGCCCTTGGATCCATCCAGGCAGCGGAATCGGGAGCAGAGGGTTCGGAAAGTCTTCTCAATCACACTGTGAGTTGCAGAATGGGCCATATTATAGCGATATTCGGCTGGAGTTTCAGGAATGTGAAGTGGGGTCATGAGCCAGGTACGGAGAAAGAAGGAACTGTCTCCTGTGGGGAAGGCCCAAGGAAATCATAAATGATTATAATTGGAATACAAACAAAAAGGAAAATTCAGGAACATACACAGAGAATGGACAAAAAAATGTAACAGTCCCTGGAGCCAAAGTGTACCAGAAAAACCAAAAGGGAAATGCTGTGGTAAAGAGAAGGCATGCCAGTGTCATGGGCAGGAAGACATGAGTCTTGGCTGGAAATATTTTTGGTTAAAACCAACAGAGAAAAAGGCTGATAGCTAAAGAAAGCCAAGTCTGAAAGAATGTAGGAAGGAGATGAAGGCGCTGGAGGAAATAAAATCCCTGGGTTTTCTGAATTCAGAGATATTCTTCTTTAATAAAAGGTTAGTAAAAACTATCACATAATAAGCCAACCTTCAAAATCTCTAAAGGGCAAGAATGCAAGAGAGAAAAAGAGAATTCTGCCAGGAGATCTCAAACCCTTGGGAGGAAAATTTCTGACTTTACCATTAAAATGTCAGGTCTGAAAGCACTACCTAGGGATTTCAGAGTATTTCATGGACAATAATCATTCATTCTCCCAGTACTAAGAAGAATAAAAGTCTCAGCATCTGTGACAGAGATCAGAACTCAGGTGTTCTGCCTCCCTAGATATTACTTTCACTAGAACCATGCCTTTGTAATAAAGGAGCTGGTAGAATTTCACATGAACAAGGACAGCATAAATATAATGATGCAGGGGCCGGCCCGGTGGCAGAGCGGTTAAGTGCGCGCGCTCCGTCGCTGGCGGCCGGGGTTCGGATCCCCGGCGCGCACCGACACACCACTTGTCAGGCCGTGCTGTGGCGGCGTCTCATATAAAGTAGAGGAAGATGGGCATGGATGTTAGCCCAGGGCCAGTCTTCCTCAGCAAAAAGAGGAGGATTGGCATCGGATGTTAGCTCAGGGCCGATCTTCCTCACAAAAAGAAAAAAAAAATATATAATGATGCAAATCGTAATAGTCAGTGATAAGGAAATAAAATCAGAAGTCAATTAAAATAATATACACGAGACGTTTCCCTTAGGCGACTTCCTTATCAAATGATCCTGGGGAGTGCTAAAAACAAAACAAAAACTGGGGTGCAATGTCCTATTACAACAGTATAATGTTTCTATAATGTTTAGTTTTCCTGACACTACATCTGGCAGACGAAATGTCTCACACAGAGGCACAACCTCCTAGAAATACAAACAGGCCCTAGGAGTACCAACTTGCACAATCACCATCAATTCAGTAAATAGTTACGGTCTGTTCAGAGACTGCTAGGCGTTATTCCAAAACATATAGGACTCCTTTCTTTTAGAAGGTTACATTTCCAAGAACTGGATTAATTTTAATTAAAAAAAATTATTTTATTGAGATGTAATTGACATATAACATTGTATTAGTTTTAGATGTACTAGATTAAGTTTTTTTTTTTTTGGTGAGGAAGATTAGCCCTGAGCTAACATCTGTCGCCAATCCTCCTCTTTTTGCTGAGGAAGACTGGCCCTGGGCTAACATCTGTGCCCATCTTCCTCCATTTTATATGGGACACCACCACAGCATGGCTTGACACGCAGTGCGTCGGTGCATGCCTGGGATTCGAACTCATGAACCCCGGGCCGGCCCTGTACTGGATTACCTTTTTTTTTTTTTGGCAGGGAAAGATTCACCCTGAGCTAACATCTGTCGCCAATCTTTCTCTTTTTTTTGCTTAAGGAAGATTAGCCCTGAGCTAACATCTGTGCCAATCTCCTTCTATTTTTGTATGTAGGTCGCCACCATACCATAGCTGACAAGTGGTGTAGGTCCACGCCCAGGATCCGAACCCGCAAACCCAGGCCGCGAAAGCAGAGCGCACTGAACTTAATCACTATGCCACAGGGCCAGCCCCTCTTTTTTTTTTTAACTCCCCAAAGCCCCAGTACATGGTTGTATATCCTAGTTGTAAGTCCTTCTAGTTCTTCCATGTGAGCCGCTGCCACAGCATGGCAACTGACAGACAGGCGGTGTGGTTCCATGACCAGGAAATGAACTCCGGCCACTGAAGCAGTGAGAGTGCGGAACTTTAACCACTAGGCCATCAGGGCTGGCTCTGGATTAACTTTAAACATCTAAGAAGTCTCACAAAGTTTTCAAATTTTATTTTCAGCTGACTGCCTCCCCCAAGTACAACCTATTTTAATTGAACTCACCCCTACTAAATATTGAATTTAAGAAACTGATGTTATAAATAATAATGAAAATAATATCTATGACTCATTGAATACATATTATGTAGCAGGCACTGTGCTGGGCACTTTAAAAATATTATCTCTTATTATCCAATCCCAACTCGGCCAGGTTAGATATTATTGAACTCATTTTACAAATGAGAAGATCAAAGTATATGATCCTTTGATATGTCAGGCAAAGGAAGAAGGAGCTAGTCACTAAATGCTAATGTCAGACTCAGAGTTGCTAAAACAATGGTGTAATGCTGTAAAAGAGAATAATACAGACATTTAAGATCAATGCCAGGGCCGGCCCCGTGGCTTAGCGGTTAAGTGCGTGCGCTCCGATGCAGGCTGCCCGGGGTTCGGATCCCGGGCGCGCACAGACGCACTGCATCTCCGGCCATGCTGAGGCCGCGTCCCACATACAGCAACTAGAAGAATGTGCAACTATGACTTACAACTATCGCTTGGGGCTTTAGGGGAAAAATAAATAAATTAAAAAAAAAAATTTTTTTAAGATCAATGCCAAAGCACAGAGATACTAAATGATATTTGTTAAACATTTCTCTAAGAAACAGTATGGGCCTTAAATGGGGAAACATACAGGACAAGCTAGTCAATGTAGACCTTTTATAAAATGCTCCATCGTCATTAACTGGTTATAATCCAAGCACCACTGGAAGACAGACACTCGGGAGGGGATTAGGCTCAGAATTGCTAAACAGATTACAATTGCTTACACGATCAGTTATCCATAAGACATTCTGGCAGATCTTACCCAAAGCTGCTTAACAGGACTAGGCCAAGAGCTGAAGAAATAAGCATTCAGGCTGAACTGTTTGCAGAAACAGGTACATTTAGAGAAGGGGAATTAGGTAATGCACTCTGAAGGGACAGATAAGAATGAGGACACAAAGGGACGACACCTATGGTGAAAATATGCTAAAAAAAACAAAGAGGATGGGCCTGCCCCGTGGCTTAGCGGTTAAGCACGTGCGCTCCGCTGCTGGCGGCCGGGGTTCAGATCCCGGGCGCGCACCGACGCACCGCTTCTCCGGCCATGCTGAGGCCGTGTCCCACGTACAGCAACTAGAAGGATGTGCCACTATGACATACAACTATCTACTGGGGCTTTAGGGAAAAAAAAGGGGGAGGATTGGCAATAGATGTTAGCTCAGAGCCGGTCTTCCTCAGCAAAAAGAGGAGGATTAGCATGGATGTTAGCTCAGGGCTGATCTTCCTCACAAAAATAAAAAAAAACGAAGAGGAATCACAGCTAATTCTAGATTTGGCAAATCTAGAACTATTCCACAAATCTAGTTGTGTAAAGATACAATCAGCCATCTTCTCTCTCTCTCTCTCTTTCTAATATCTTATCATTCTTCATAATCCTGCCAATCTTCCCCTGCATTACCCCATTGTCCACACATTCTCTAGAGACCAGTGTTTTCCAGACTTATCTATTTGTACAGATCATTTAGGGCACCTGTTAAAAATGGATGTCTAGATTCTTTCCTTGAAGATTCTCATTCCCAAAGTTTGAGGTGGGGCCCAGTGATGTACATTTTTAATAAATTCCCCAGATGAGTCTTTTGATCTGGAAAATTTATGAAACACTATACTAGCTCAGGAGTCTTCAAACTAGTTTTCCTGTTAGAGCTCATGGAGGTTTTCCAAAGGGTATGTGCGAGAACTGACAGTACTCAGGGAATCAGTTTCCACATGTGTATACTTTTCCAGCATCCTTAGTGCCTAGCATGTGGCCTGGTACCAAAACTGGCCTTAATCAACATTTGTTAAATGTTGTTGCAATATCCATCTCTCCCAACTTCGACTCCTCCTGTAAAGAGGGGAATCAGAAAAGTATATAAAAATTTGTCACAGCTTTTACTGATTTTCAACTATGTCCTGTAAACAACTCAAAAAACTTTAAAGCCATAATTCCAACTGAATCTGGGGTCCCAAGGAAGGAAAAGAAAATCAGTAATTCCTACATGGCCTTGAAGTCTTTAACAAAAGGAATATTTGCCAAATAAAGTAACTCCTCATATATCTAGTTTTAAAACTTAAACACAAATGACTTAGATATTCTGTGCCTTAATTTCCTCAGCTGTAATAATGTTGAGAATATTAGTATGTAACTCCTTAAGAGTATTTATAAGGATGAAGTGAGATAATCCAATGCAAAGTGCTTACAACATCGCCTGACAAATTCTATGCGCTCGGTAAGTTTTAGTGGGCTTTATAGTTAGGGTACCCAAGTGATTTCATGAGAAATGAGCTTGGAACCCGAGTATTCCTACAGCTGCAGAAGTAGCTAGAGGAGACACTTGCAAAACAGATTTTCCTTCACTTCTTAGTGTGAGTTGTATGAAAATGAAATTTGACAGTTCAAAGTGGGTACGAGGTGTGATTAAGATAAAGGTCCAGTAAATAGAAGGTGAAAACGGTATGTAGAACCAACAACTCAAGAAACTCACTAAGTTCCAAGACGTCACACATGGCACCCTGGGAGCTCTAAACCAGTGTGACAGCAGTCTCTTGGAACAGGGGACGATTCAAGTGCCAGTAAGCACATTAAAGAGAAATAATTCCCAAGCGTCTACTACATGTTAAACACTGTTATGAGCATGTGCAGTGCAGATATGATTAGTGGTTTTGAAAGAGAGGTCTTCCAATCTTTAATGCATCTTTTCATCTTTCAATAATATGTTGTATACAAGATAACCCTTATACGGTTGCTCATATAAGAGTAGCACTTTAAGAAAAAAAAAAAAAACCCTAAGCGGTCAGGTTCAAGGGTTTTATCACTGTTAACTAACTGTATTCCTCACAGCTCTACAGTCACTCCAGTTTGCACTATTCTATATTGAATGGGTTCTTGTCCTACTCATATCACTAAGCCAGGCTTTGCAATGGCACTTGGGCAGATTTGTGAAGTGAGTTTCTATAAGAACTGTGTAAGTGCACTGTCTGCTATCATTTTCATATAGACATCAAAGTGACAATCACCAACGGCAAAAATCATATCTCATATTTGTACTTTATGGTGAACTTTCATATACATTAGTTAATCTTAACAATAGGTATTACTGCTGTTGGCCTTATTTTCACCATTTTAGAGATGATAAAAATTAAGGCTCAACTGTATGGATGTACACATTTAACCAGATCTCTACCAATAAGTATTTCAACTGTATTTAAGGGGAATGTTTTTGTAGGGTTGTCGTTTGCAACTACAAAACACTGCTGCAATGCAAATTTTTCTATGTAATTTTGTTTTATACCACCGATGTTCATATTTATGAGCATGTACTTCCAAGATAAATTCTTAGAAGTGGAAGAGCTGGGTCAAATAATATGTTTTTAAATTTTAATAATTAAATGTCGATTAAAAAAAATCAAGGCTCAGAGAGTGCTCACCTGAGGTCTCATTAAAGAAAGGATAGGACTTGGGGCTGACCACATGGCCTAGAGGTTAACCTCAGCGTGCTGCGCTTCAGCAGCCGAGGTTCGATTCTCAGGTGTGGACCTATATCACTTGTTGGCAGCCATGCTGTGGCAGTGACCCACATACAAAAAAGAGGAAGAATGGCACAGATGTTAGCTCAGGGAGAATCTTTCTCAGCAAAAAAAAAAAAGAAAGACAGGACTGACACTCAGGTCTATAGACTCCCTTATTTCATTCTACTCTGCTACATAATTTTTCTGTGGCTATAAGATGAAGCATTTATACATCTGCAAACTTACCAAGAAGCCAGCTATCTTTGTGCATTCCAGCTTCAAACTGACTTCTGAGAGAAGACTGCTGCAGCACAGCATAGTCCTGTAGGCTACCTGGCCAGTTTGTCTCCACGGTCATCAGTGCCCCTCTGATGTCACACACCATCAGGCAATTTAAAGAATGCAGACCTTTGCGGTTCACATAGGAGAGGTCTTCAGCATTTGGTGCCTTGATTGCCACATGGATACAGTCAACCACTCCTATCACCCCTGGCATCCCTGCCAACCCATAGAATTCATCCTTCAGAGCCTGCATGGAGGCTTCATCAGCTGGAAAGTGAATGAACTGCGAGGCTCTTTCCACAAGTGCTTCCGTGACATTGGCAACACATCGACTCATAGATGCCTGACTGATACCAATAGCATCTCCCATTCTAGTCTGGAAAGAACCTGAGGTATAAAAGCCCAGTGCTGCAAGGATCTGTGTCTCTGGGCTAATAGCCCTGGATCTCTGAGTAGGTCTAGAAAGACTTGCCCCCAAGAGCTCCACCAAGTAATAAATGAACTGTCGAGGAAACCCATACATGGACATCAAGTATTCATCGGTCACATCATCCAGCTTAAAGCGGTCCAGTGTCCGGTGACCTCGGCCATATAGCAAGAGATCACAGTCAAGCACTGTTATTGGTATAGCCATGGTACATGTAAGTGTTGTCTCTCCTTCCCTCTGCTACTTTTCCTGAACTCTTCCCAGTGAAGATGTTGGTGCAAGAAGATATGTAAGGAAGTGTCAGAATTCAACAGCTAACCATCAGTTAAATGGCTCTGGCATTTATAATCTTCTCTCTGTAAAGGTTAAAAGAAAAAACATTAGAAACCTACCAAAGACTTTAAAGTGATTCAAAGGCTACACCAGCTCCTTTTCTCAAATTTTCATTTGGTTCAAGCAAGAGGTACAATACCTGTAATCTGGGTTTTTCTCCAACAACTCATGGCCTCATGACAGGCTTGCTTTGGCTTAAAGGATAATGGGAGTTGAATTTCGGTGGCTCATTTAATGCCTGGCATTTGAACTGGGAAGAGCAAAAGATTAATGGAGGTGATGGCATAATTATCAACAAAGTAAAAGAGGTCTGCTCCTAACTATACAGGCCACCAAGCAGCTGACATAAGTCATAACTACCCGGCGCAGGGATTAGTCATCGCGAGTTTCATTATCCAAAGCCCTCTGGCTCCACCTGATAAGTACAAGACGGATGTAGGGGGTGCTCAAACCAGTCTAACAAGGAAGAAGGGGGCAAAAAATGCCCACGACTCAGCTTGGTGTACGTAGATGGTGTGCTCTAACAAGTTTTCCTCTCATCCCAGGAAATCCAAATTGTGAGGCTATGGGCTAGGAAGAAGGAAAGATTAGACAGGTTGGAAGGAAGGCGCGAAAGAAGAGGCTGAGAGAGTAAGGGTTAGGAGGCGACTCTGCCGCTTTTAGAAGGCACCTTAGAAATGGATACGGAAGTCTGATTGCGCCGGCCACTCAAGTCAGGCAAGGCCGGTCACCCACCTCTCGGCGGCAGCCAGGTTACAAGCCGCACTCCCCGCCCACCTAGCAGGATCCGCCCTCCTCCGGAACCGGCGGCGGCGCACCAGCTGCCACGGCACTCAGCAGGGCACCGCCCCTCTGCGTCAGCGTCCACCCCACGCCGCGTCCTCGCTGCCGCTGCCGCCGCCGCCGCCGCGACCTGCGGTTCGCCGGCGCACATTCCACATGCGGCCCAAACGTTCTCGCTCTTCAAAAACATCCCTCTCTACGCCTTTACTTTCTTCTGAGGTGCTTGGGAAAATTGGATAAAAAGACTTATATGGAAAGGAAGTCAATTTTTATGGGAATGTAGAAGAGGAAAGAGGCTAAATACGGCGTCCATACTGTAGCGAAAGTGCGGCTGAGGTTAGGCAGCTGTATTTCCCTCATGGCCCTCCCCCTCACCCTCCGCCTTCACCGAAGCGAATGAAAACAAACACTAATGATGGCGGCGCCGGGAAGCGACCGGCTGCTGGGTCTACAGCAGGAGTGATCGCTTGAGCTGTGAGGGGAGCCTTGAAGAGCGCTGGTCGACGGGAGTGCGACAACTCGCGCGGTCCTGGAAGCGAAACACCTGGGGCCTGCGAGCCACGAGCGTCCTGAGGCGTGAGGTTATCTGTCTGTGACCCGTGCTGTCACTGCAGCTCCGGAGCGCGGAGCCCTCAGCCAGGAGGCGCAGCTGGCCGGCCCCAGGCCCCGGCCTCCGTAATGAGAGCTCCGAGCCACTCTCTGTGTCGCAGCTTCGCAGGTACTAACTTTAGGGGGGATACCCCCAGATCTCTCAGCGCCCCCGGGTGGGAGGCAATGGATCTGCGGCCTGTCGGGTACCTCCTTGTGAAGCCGAAGCCGGCTAGCCACAATTCAGTCCCTTGAGCTTTCTTGGGGGAAGGCGGATTGGTGTAGGCCCCATTGGCCCTTAATTGTTTCCATTCTTTACAAAGATCCTCAGACCTTTCGTCTTTATTTTCTTAGCTCTTTGGGTTAAGTCGCAAGGCTTTTGGAGGTAATTTGTGGGGCCATAACTCCGGGGTTGGGTACCAATATGAGTGAGGTAGGTTTTCATTCAATCAAGATTTGTTGAGTGCCAAATATGTACTCCGCGTGTAGGTAAGGGTGACTGTTGACTAGTGAAAAAAGGGACACAAGGTTCACGACTGTCTTCTTACTGGCAGTGGAACGGCCTGTGGAAACCTGCGATCCATTCTCATTAAATAAATCTCTCGGTGAGTGGCTAAGCACCTTCTTGGGTTCATCAGTAACTCATCTCAGTTTTCACTTGCCCGGTCAGTTAGTTCCCAGTTTGCCTGGTCAGTTCAGCCTAGCATTTCACTTTTAGTATGTCTTTCTCTTCTGGCCATCCCACAGCTGGAGAGAAAGACAGAGAGAGAGGCTCAAACTCAATAAATTAACTTCCAGGTTTTTGTGTATTGTTTTATGAGTATTAGTCCTTTTCATGTGTGGATATGTGGCTCCAACTAAATTACAAATTATTTTGTTTTCGACTCCATTTTTCAGCTCAGCAAAGTCTTAAATGCTTGTGGAATGGAATCTTGACTTAATATTTTTAATACACAGTGCATGATAAATAGGTGTGGAAGCAAGTGTCACATATACTGATCTGTATAGTAAGATGTGTGTAGTTAATTCATGCATTATTTTCAAATTGTATGCCTTTGGGTATAAGCTTAAGTAGGCTAGCGCAACTTTCAAGATTTACATTTCATAAAAATTGCAAACCACTGGATTTTCCATTACTGTACTTACACCTAACAGTTCTTATTGTATATTTGTATTTTTTTCCCTCAAGCGTAGGTATTAAAATGGAAGCAAAAACTACAGATTTTCAGCTACTAAACAGTCCAACTTATATTGTTTTATTTAAGGACTACAAATCAGCTGGACATAGTGGAGTCCTACCATATAAGCATACTGGAATTGTCCTGTGTGGAGGTGGGGGCAAGAAATCTCTTTTTTTCCATTATCTTTCCTGCCCAAATCTGCCCAACTGCATTAGCGTATGACCTCCATGACTCAGAGCAGGGTGTGTGTGGCCTAAATGCAAAAAGAAGCCTGAAACATTAATTTTTGAGCTTCCAAGACCCAAGTCTTACTATGTAAGTGATTTTTCAAAGATAATTTTGACTATTCAGAAAATGCAACTACTGCAGAATTTATGGCACCCACTCAAATAAGGTGCATTCCCAATACTTTGCAATTATATTTTGCTCAAGTGGGAGTGGAAGATGTTTATTTCAGAATCTTTATCTAGAGAGAAGTTATTTAATCCTAGAAATCCCTAAAACTTTCATTTTAAAATATTTCTTTTGCTTTTTAAACACTTTTTACTTTGTTATAGAAGAGATGAGTAATTACATTCATAACACTCTGGTTGAAGTGCTGTGTAGAGAATGAAGAGTACACCTAGGGGCCAGCTCCGTGGCTTAGCGGTTAAGTGTGCGCGCTCTGATGCTGGCGGCCCGGGTTCGGATCCCGGGAGCGCCCCGAGGCACCACTTCTCCATCCAACGTGAGGCCGAGTCCCACGTACAGCAACTAGAAGGATGTGAACCTATGACATACAACTATCTACTGGGGCTTTGGGGGGAAAAAACTGAATAAATAAAATCTTTAAAAAAAAAAAAAAAAAAGAGTACACCTAAAAAATTTCTCACTGTTATGACCCTTTATTATTCAACTTAAGTTTTTTTTTTTTGGGTGTTTTTGTTTGTTTGTTTGTTTTGGTGAGGAAGACTGGCCCTGAGCTAACATCTGTGCCAATCTTCCTCTTTTTTGTACGTGGGATGCCGCCACAGCATGGCTTGATGAGTGGTGTGTAGGTCCCTGGTATGTAGGTCTGTGCCCCAGATCTGAATAGGCAAACCCTGCCTGGGCTGCTGACGGAGAGCTCGTGAACTTAACCACTATGCCACTGGGCCGGCCCTTGTTTTTTTTTTTAATGGAAGAAAAGTGCATATAGAGGCTTGCTGATTAAGAAATGCGGACTATTCAGATAATATTCCAGCTAGCATATTGCTTAAGACATTTTTAGCTTGTGTGTTGAGATTCTTACAATATGTATACTTTACTAAAAGTTTATTCTTGAAGAAAGCTTACCTAAACTTTATGTGTGGATGATTTGGAAGTAATTTCTAGCTTGGGGTGTTGAGCTCAGTAAGATAAATATCCATAAGGCACCATTTTTTCATACATGGATTTAGTAGAGGAAATGGGGCATGGGATTATGTTGGTCCTTGCTTGGTCTCCGTCAAATTGCAGAGACCAATAAGAACTGCAAGTAGTCCCTGATAGGATAAAGGCAGTGTCGCCAGAAAGAATGCTAAGGAGGCTATCTAGTCCTTACTGCCCAGGGGGAATTAAGAAACTTTTCTTTCTTTTTTTTTTTTTTATGAGGAAGATCAGCCCTGAGGTAACATCTGATGCCAATCCTCCTCTTTTTGCTGAGGAAGATTGGCCCTGGGCTAACATCCGTGCCCATCTTCCTCTACTTTATACGGGACGCTGCCACAGCATGGCTTAAGCGGTGCATCGGTGCACGCCCGGGATCCGAACCTGTGAACCCTGGGCCGCAGAAGCAGAGCGCGCACACTTAACTGCTGCACCACCGGGCTGGCCCCAAGAAACTTAAAGTTTGGGTTTTAGATCTTAAAAGGATTTTAAATCCTTAAAGCGATTTTTAATTAATTTTAAATAGTTGTTTTTAACCATAGAGTAAATGTGGTCCAGTTTATTAGAAAAATCCTCTAAATGTCAGTGTAGGTGGCACAGGAAATTTGTCTTGTGCTAGTGGTGTCCCCCATATACCCTTGGTTACAAGAGAGGGGATAGGATTGTGAATCACCACTACTTAGAAAAACAATTAACATATACAGTTGACTGTTGGTCAATAGTATCTTCTTAGTAAAAGTAAAGGTAAATAAACAACTTATAGAAGTGGTAGCTTAGTATTGTTATTTTGGAAAATACTGCTTTCATTTTTGACTTTTTTTTTTTTTTAAAGATTTATTTATTTATTTTCCCCCCAAAGCCCCAGTAGATAGTTGTATGTCATAGCTGCACATTCTTCTAGTTGCTGTATGTGGGACGCGGCCTCAGCATGGCCGGAGAAGCGGTGCGTCGGTGCGCGCCCGGGGATCCGAACCCGGGCCGCCAGCAGCGGAGCGCGCGCACCCAACCGCTAAGCCACGGGGCCGGCCCTCATTTTTGACTTTTGATTCATACAAATGTGAAAGAAATACAAAGTTAAAAATCATTTTATATTCTTTTTATTCTTAAGGTTTATTTTTTTTTCCCTCCAATTCCTTCTGTATTGCCCATAGCTATTAGGTCAGTAGGAGAGAGAGAATGTTGAGAAATACTTGTTGAAATTTAGATGTCCTGTTTAAAATATAAGTTTAAGGGTGTTTTTTTACCCCTTATAGTATTTCTGTTGGAATTTTCAAGAAACCAGATATTGGCCTGATTTATTCTTTGGACTGGTTTTTAAATTGTTCCTGGTTAATTAAGAAGGGCTTTTATCTTTATTCCTGCCTCCCATTTTCTTTTATTTTACTTTCTTGTTTCTTAAGTAGAAAACTTATGTCTTTTTTAATTATAAAGACATTTAAGGCTATACATTTTCCTCTGAATTCTCCTTTTGCTGTATCTTACTTGTTTTGATGTCAAATAGTCTCCATTTTGTTAATTTCTAGATAATTTGTAACTTTGGTTTTTATTTCAGTGTTTATTACAAAAAGCTTCTTAATGTATACATGGTTAACTTTTTATTATATATTTCTAGTTTGCTGGATTATGGGCAATGACATCTTGGATTTTTTTTTTTACCGTCAAGAGCATGATCAATTTATAGTGTCCCTTGACCCTGAAAAGAGTGTGAAAGTTATAGATAGATAAATAAGAGCTTTATTGAGGATCTCCTGTGTGGCAAATACTCTTTATGGGAACTATCTCATTTAATCTTCACCCCAATCCTGTGAGGTAGGTATTATTTATTGCCATTTTATAAGAAAGGGATCTGAGGTACAGAAGGATTGACTTGCCCTATATACCCTTACATATATATTAGACTTGGTTTTGTTATTCAGATTCTCTATAATTTTTATTTATGTCTACTTGAGCTTTCAAAGAAGTATGTTGAATCTTCAGATATAGTTTTGGTTTTATCAAGCTCTCCTGGTATCTCTAGCAATTTTTGCTTCATGTATCTTATTGCTATATTCCTTATGTATAAAGGTTTATGGCTATTATATTTTCAGATTATTTTATCATTGCTCAATATCTCTTTTAACCTCCTTTCATCACTTTTGGCCTGAAATTCTGTTATAAATATTGCCACTTCTGCTTTCTTTTTCTTTCTTTCTTCTTCCTCTTTTTTTTTTTTTAAACTGAGTATATCTCTGCTTATTTCTTTATTTTCAAACTTTCTTAGTAACTCTATTAGGTAGGAAGACTATTTCAATTGTCTTGTCAACAGAAAAATTTCAGCTTTTCTATTCTGTTTCTCATTTGTCTACAAAGAACTTTCTAAATGGAAAAAAGGATCTTTATAATTTAATAATAACTCTGATGCCTAGAAAGGGGCAAAATTACTATTTTGTTCTATTTGCAGTTGAACTTGTACTTAACTATTTTTTTCTTGTTAACTGTTCCTAATTTTCCACATTGAGCTTTTAAGCCTGAATCCAAAACATTAAAAAACTCTATGTTAAAAATTGGAAAACATAGGGGCTGGCCCAGTGGCATAGTGGTTAAGTTTGTGCGCTCCGCTTCGGCAGCCCAGGGATCACAGGTTCGGACCCTGGGTGCAGACCTACACACCGCTTATCAGGCCCTGCTGTGGCAGGCGTCCCACATACAAAGTAGAAGAAGATGGGCACGGATGTTAGCCAAGGGTCAATCTTCCTCAGCAAAAAGGGGAGGATTGGCAACAGATGTTAGCTCAGGGCTAATCTTCCTCACAAAAAAAAAAAAAAATTGGAAAACATAGAAATTATTTTTTCAGTAATTGTTGTTAACTTTTCCCAGTTTTAAGAGCTAGAGGTATTATCTGGAGTCATTTTTATATGATCTCTTGCCAAATTATTCAGTTGTTTCTTTGAAATTATTTGCCCTTTGCTTCATTTTTTGACTGTGTCACCTTAATTCACTGTTATCACCAACTCCCATCTGGATTACTGAAATAGCTTTCAGCTCGTCTCTCTGTTTCT